AAAAGCGTGGCAACCCTGTAATAATTAAACAATATTTAACTGAAAAATAAATTAAAACAAAACAAAAATTTGGTTTTTGTTTATATTAATATTATTATTGTTTATTCTTTTTAATATTATCGTTACAATAATTATTAGTTTACTTCAAATTCGTATCCTTATTATTATTGTTCTTCTTATTATTGAAATCTTTTAATTATTTTCTCAGGCAATTTAAGAAAAAAATTTACAACATCATTATTAATAATAATTTAATATTTAAATGTTAAAAAGTGTGAAATACTTTTTCAGTCATCAGTGGTTTCAAAAGTTTCACGATTTCGCTTTCTTCTTGTATATTTTTTTTTTGTACAATTTCCTCGATCTTGATGACTTGTAGTTAAATAAAAGAAACCCATAAATTTTTGTCTTTTTTTAAAATTATTTATTCTGCAAAAATGTTTGATATTTTAAAGAGGTGATTATTTCCGCAAGCTTTTAATTGTCAAGTGGCATGGCACATTATCTTTTGGATTTAATAATTTTCTTACATCTGCGACTTTCTCTTTTGACAATACATTATTTATTTCGAATGCAATTTAAATTGCCTTTCAAGAATAAAATTCTATTTTAAAAATTCTCATCTCTATTATGTAGAATTATTGAAATTTAGTTATAGTAAAATTTTCTGTCAAGTAGATTAAATAAATTTATTAAAATTTTAATTTAATGATTAATTGTAAATCAGATTTTTTAAAATTAAATTCAAATTAATTACTATTTTATTTTTTGTTGCTATTATTATTTTATTGCACTAAAACAAAAATTTATTTGATTTAAAGAAAAATTATTTGAGTCAATTCTAAATAAATTTCTAAATAAATAAATAAATAAATAATAAATGATAATAGACAAGTAATGGATTATTTGAGTCAAATAAATTTTTTTAGTCTGTTTTTTTATTATTTATTATTATTATTATTATTTTGTTTATTTTTTTAATGTTGTTATTTTTATTTGTTTACTTATTAATTCAATTTACAATTATTATTGTTATTACTATATTAATATCAAATTAGAAAATAAAATAATAAGACAAGTTACATTCCTCGGATTATTACTTTCTGTGTAAAAATATAAATTATTAAAATTTTTCCACAAGTTTTTTTTCAATTATTTAAATAAATTTCCAATGGGAAATATCAGTTTTAGACAAATCGATTTTTTCAATTTGTGATATAATAAGGTATATCTTCTTCTGTGGCACAATATAGAGGTAAATATAATTATTATGTTGTGCACATAATATCGCGTATAAAAGCGCAGTTACCGTTTAATTTCACGCTCATGAGTTATACGAGCATCAAGAATTATTTTCTACCTAATTGTAAGCATTAAAACGTCATCTAATCAATCAATTATGTCCTCAGGGGAGAATAGAGGTGATGCCTGTTGAATATAATTGCTATAAAATCTTTTAATGACTTGTTCTTCATCGTCGTAAAAATTAATAAAAATTTATCGTTTATAATACCATTTTGCAAAGATAATTTCTTTAATTATATACGTAAATTTTATTTCAAAATTAAGGGGTATAAAAGTAGAAGTGGTGTATATCGGAAAATTGATTTTTTTTTATAATAATCAGCAAATTTCAACTTAATTATTGTCAGTTAAAATTCAGGCAAATTAATTAACTAACGAATGTTATAATTACATAATTGATTAAAGTTTAATAAAAATTAACGAAAATTAAATAATTGACAAAAATTAGTTAACTAACAAATATTAATTACTTAATTGACAAGAGTTAATTTGCTGACGGAAATTAATTAATAAAAATGACCGAAAATTAAATAATTGCCAAAAATTAGTTAACTAACGAATATTAATCACTCAATTAAAAAAATTAATTATTTAATTAACAAACATTAAATAATTAACGAAAATTAGTTATTTAATTTACTAAATTTAAACTAATTAACAAAAATTAATTGACTAACGAATATTAATTACTTAATTGACAAAAATTAATTTGCTGGTGGAAATTAGTTAATAACAATTGACGAAAATTAAATAATTGACAAAAATTAATTAAGTAACGAATATTAATTACTTAATTGACAAGAGTTAATTTGCTGACGGAAATTAATTAATAAAAATTACCGAAAATTAAATAAAATTGCCAAGAATTAATTGACTAACGAATATTAATTACTTAATTGACAAGAATTAATTTTCTGACGAAAATTAATTAATAAAAATAAACGAAAATCACATAATTGACAAAAATTAGATAACTAACGAATATTAATTACTCAATTGACAAAAATTAATTATTTAATTAAGAAACATTAAATAATTAAACGAAAATTATTTATTTAATTAACGAAATTGAAAATAAATGACAAAAATTAATTAACTAACGAATATTAATTTCTTAATTGACAAAAATTAATTTAAAGATGAAAATTAATTACCTAATTGATAAAAATTAATTTATTTTAATGAAAACTTTTAAATAAATTATTACAATTATTCAGAATTAAAATAAACAATACCTAATCGAATAGAAAATAATAAAATCAAATTCATTAAAATATTTATTTGATATATTTATTCTATTTAAATAATTATTTGATTTGAATAAATATTTATTTTCTTTAAAATAAACGTTTAGTTGACTTTTTTTTAAATTTAATAAATGTTTCGTTCAGTTAAATAAATTTTTCTTTGGAAGATAAAATTTGGCTGTAAGAATCAATTTTTTGGTTCAGTAGAATTATGCTTGATAATTTATTTATCTAACAATTGTTTCGAGTACTTTAAATAGAGCTATGTGTTCTTTATAATGTTTTCCTAATACTAATGATAATATCTCATTACTAATCATTAATAATACGACTTCATCCCAAGAAGTTTATTTTCATTTTTATTTTTTATCTAAAGCCCTTGACTTCTTCGATTTCGAAAGATCATTCATGGGAACTGTGTATTTATTAAGACCCAACCCAATCTATTGTGGGCCAATATTGAGGGCAGAATAAATCGCGAAAAATATTGTACTATTTCAAATTGTTGTTTAAAAGAGAAAGTTGTTTTCCTGACCTATTAATATAAATGAATAGGAAAAATTTTCATTTATTTTAATGAAAGAATTTTTTTTTTTTTTTTTGAGTACAGAAATTTATAATGAAAACAATTCTTTTTTTTTAATTTTCTCATTTGAATTCGATAATATGTTATTTTAAATTTCTCTATATTTATACTTAATTAATAATTTTTATTTAATTGTGAGTAATTAATTATTGCAATTACATCAATAATTATTGCAATAATTATATTAACAATAATTGTTGTAACTAGATTAACAATTGTTGTAACTAGATTAACAATTATTGCAACTATATTAACAATTTTTGCAATATTGTTATAAAATTATTATTTCAATTATTTGCGTAAATAATAAATAATTTTCTTCAATTTTTTTGGGACAATTATCAATCATGTCAATGATGTCAACAATTATTGCAATTATATTAACAATTGTTGCAAGTATGTTAACAATTTTGTAATTAATTATTATTTATTTATAATTACTAATTAATTATTTTAATTATTTTAATTACTTCTATAATTATTGCAATTATATTAACAAATGTTGGAATATTGTTATAAACTTATTATTTTAATTTTTAGTTTAAATAATAAATAAAACAATAAATATTTCATTTTGAATTTACTTTGTATTTTATAAATTAATAATTTTCAATTAAAATATTAGAAGTAACTAATTTATGCAATTATACCAACAATTATTGTAATTGCATTAAAAATAATTGCACTATTGTTACAAAATTATTATTTCAATTGGCGTAAGTAGCGTAAGTATATAAATAAATGTAATAATAAATATTTTATATTTAATTTGGTCTGCATTATATAAATTAATTAATAATTTTTAATTAATTATTTTCATTATTTCTACAATTATTAAAATAGTCAATAATATAAAACACAATTTTTGCAATATTGTCACAAAATTATTATTTCAACTGTTTGCATAAACAATAAATAAAATAATAAATATTTAATTTTTAATTTACTCTGTATTTAATTAATTTTGAGTAATTAATTATTGCAATTAAGTCAACAAATATTGCAATTATAATAACATATAACATTAAAACAAATATATTAACATTAACATTATTGTTTTAAAATTATTATTTTAATTGTTAGCATAAATAATGAATAAAAAAATTTTAATTAGAAAAAAAATTAATTCAATTTGTTTTTGTATAAAATTATAATTTTCAATTTATTTGTTTACTTATCATTATTTAATTAAATAAAATATTTAAGTGAATAATTTAAATAAATTAAAACATGTAAATTAATTATTTAAGTCTAAAAAAATTTAATTAGATTAATTTTAAAAAAATTGTTTAAATTAAATTAAAATTTTTCGAATTATTTGTTCATTTACTTTATATTTTTAATTAAAGTAACTTTTTTTCATTAACAACAAGTCGATAAAAATTTCGAAAACAGTATTTTATCTCCATCTGTAGGAAAATTCAGTTAATACTATAATGCGTACGGTTGGTAAAAATGTTTGTGTTGTGATACAAAAATTTTTAAATAATAATTTTCGTTTACAAATTCTTTAATAGAGATTTTAACAATAAATAACAATCCAAGAAATAACGGAAAATAAAGTAAGTATTAAATTATAATTATTTACAAATTGTTTACATTTTCTAAGAGAATTTTTATTTTTTATTAAAAACTTCCAAGTTTTTTTGAATTAATGAATAATAAATAATTTTTATTTGTTTCAGTTGAATATTGTTATTTTTTAGATAAGCAAATTAATGTTTTATGTATGGAAGTTTAATATTTCAGAAAAAAATTAATTATCAACGATCGTAGCGCTTTAGCTAAGTGGTCGTTATTTGAAACGATCTTTACTTCAGAAATACGTTAACATATTTAAAGAATCCCCACTACTAAAGTTATTAGTTTTCTGTTTACAGGCGATTGAACAACACGTGTTTGTCTAATTGTTCAATAATGTTATAATGTTCTTTGATTAATTAAAAGAATTAAAAGTTTACTTACTTTTTCATCATGTTAACGACAAAAACTTTCTTTCGAAAGACAAAAGGAGGGAGTATTTATAAGGTATTGTTAAAAATATTTTTATTCTTGTAAGAATGTAAGTTTTTTTATCATTTTACATGTTAATAACGAAATATTTTAGGTTGTAAGAGAACATTATCTCAGGGATGATGTTTGGTGTGGATCAGAAGCTTGTAATTTATGCAAAAGTCACAATAATATTCTTGACGAAACGAATCCTGGAATTAAAAGTTCTTTGTTTAAACAATCTCATTATTTATTACTCGATACAAATGTTGTTCTCGATCAGGCAAGTGTTACTTTTTTGCATTATTATTATTATCATTATTAGTACCTATTATTAATTGTTATTATTTATGTTACAATAATTTAAAAATATTTACATTAGTGAACTTCACAACGTTTTGTGATTAACGAATTAGGTAGAAAAAAATACTTTTCTAAGCAAATTTTTATAATTTTTCGCCTGTAAATTCTTTTTTTTTATAAATTTTTATCAATTTATTTTGAAAAAAATGTGTAAAAACAAAAATTTTGTTGATTTTCTTCTAAAAAATAATTTTTTTTACGTTAATCGTTGATTAAAAACGTCATTGACTTCATCGACGTAAATATTTCTTGTTTCTCAGAAATATATTTAAAAAAGCAATAAATTTTTTTTAATACCTATTTATTTATTATTTGTTTGAAATTACATAGCCCAACATAAACAAAATAATTATAATTATAATATTATTGTAAAAAAGCAAATATAATTTTAAAATTTTTTTAATATTTACAATTATAATTATAAATTATAATATTATAATATTAATAATTTTAAAAATCATATTAAAATTAAATAAAAGTTAAGAGTTGGAATTTTACAGATTTGATTAAAAATTTTTTAAAATTGGAAAAAAATAAGTGTTGTTGCCAAAATGTTTTTTTATTAAATAACTGCAATTACTGATTATGATTTTTATTTTTAGATCAATGTTTTTGAAGAGGATTCACTTTGTAATGTAATAATTTTACAAACAGTTTTAGAGGAAGTAAGACATAGAAGTTCTAATGTTCATACTAAATTGAAGGATATAATTTCTGATCCAAAAAGAAATTTTTATGTATTTGTCAATGAACATCACAAGTAAGCACAAATAAACAGTTTTTCAAAATATTAAAAATATGTAATATATAAATGTTTATAGAATATTTAGTATAAAATATATAAAATTAATAAACTATAAATACACACGTATTAATACAGAATTATCAATGAAATTTATCATTTTTATTCAAATAAATAAATTAAATTAAGGGACAAAAATTAAAATCAAATGAAACATATTTTATTTAACAATTAGGAAAGCAATTTTTATTTATTTTTTTTTTTAACAAAATTCTAGAAAGTTTTACAGTTCTAACAGTCAAATTGTAAATTACAGAAAAAATTAATATTCTTTAATTTTAATATAAACTGATTATTATTATGTTTTCCTATGAATAGAGACACTTATGTGGAACGAAATCCAGGAGAAAAAGTTAATGACAGAAATGATCGTGCTATTAGAGTAGCAACAAAATGGTTTAACGCGCATTTGAAAATGCAAGACATTCCGATTCAGGTGATTCTTTTAACCGATGATGTTCAGAACAGAGAAAAAGCAATTTCAGACTCAATTCCTGTTGCCTCAAGTAAGTCACATTTTTCTCGTACAGTAGATTTATTACTTTTACTATAATTAGAACTATTATTTTTATAATTGTTAATATATTTAAATATGTAATATAAAGTCAAAAATTAAATATAAATTATTTTAAATCAGGGTTGCCACAGGTCAGAAAAGTCAGGAAAAGTAGAATTGGTCCGGAAAATCAGGGAAAATTCAGGGATTTTTATTAAAAGTACTGAAAAAAATTTAATTTTTAGAATTCACAAGAAAATTCTGTATTTTTGAGTCTTTTATTTGCCACAAACTATGAAATCACCACAAATTCTAATAGAGAACCTTGAAATTTTTCTATTTCTGACAATAATTTCTTTTTTAATAACATAATTCTTGAAGGAAAAACATAAAATTATTACTTATAAATTATTTAATGAATAATTTTACTTTAATATTTCAAAATTAATTGAACTTTAAGAGAGTTGCATTTACAAGTTTCATAAATAGATGAACTTCAAAAGGTTTCAATTCGAAATTATATAATTTTAGTTAAAAACATTTTTAAAAAAATAATTTTTGAGAAGGTACAAAATAATTACAGAAATTCAATTATTTTCAAAAATTTTAATAAAATTCTTGTCAAAAATTTCAATTATTTTCATAAATTTTCCACAATTCCAATAATTTTCAATATCTACTATTTTAATAAAATTTTCCAAAAGAATTATTTACAAATTATATATAAATTTCTTCGTAATAATTCCATTATTTTCACAAATTATAAAATTTTTTACATTGATTCAATTATTTTTATAAATAATAAAATTCATCGCAGAATTTCAATTATTTTTAATACAATTTTAATCAAATTCCTCGAAAAATGTAATTATTCTTAACAATTTTATTAAAATTCGTCTAAAGAATTCTATTATTTAAAAATTTGTTAATGAAATTCTTAATGAGAATTTAATTTTAAGAAGCATTCAATTATTAAATAAATTATTTATTTTTGTATTTAATTAATTGATTAGAAATGAATTTCAGTTAAAATTTTAGATAATAATTGAATATTAAAAGCATTATAGCGTGAATTTTTATAAATAATTGAATTTTTAAATAGTTTCAATTTAAAATCTTTGAAGATCTGAATTTTTCATACTAGGTATTAACTAACAAATCTGTAGAATTACTGTTTTTGAAAAAGTGTAATTAAATTTTTTTGTAATTATTTGAAGTTTTTATTTTCTAATAATATATATTTAGTTGAAGAATTTCTGAATAGTCGAAACTTCGTAAAATTGAATTGTAAACGATTGGATTAAAAAATTCTCAAAGAAATTTTCGAAAAATTAGCAAAAAGAATTGATATAAAGAAAAATGTTTGTTAAGAATTCTAGAAGATAATAATTGAATTGAAATGATGAAAATAATTTTTAAAAAGTTAGAGTAACAATATTCTTATAATATAAAATAATGATTTTCTCACTCGGTGTTCTATAGTAATATTCTTATACACTTCCTCTTAAATATTTTTATAAGTTATTAAATTTCAAGAGGTTTGAATTTGAAATTTTTGAAAATCTTAATTCATTTGGAAAAATAATAATGATTAAATATTTACATATTTTAAATAAAACTCTTGATATGTTTTCGAATGATTTTAGAATTAAAGAAATTCGTAAATAAATGTAATAGAAAATTTTTTTGTGTATCTAATCATTTTTAGAGTGAATATCAGAATATTCTTTAGGGTCAGGGAGAAAATCAAAATTTTGTTTGGAAATCAGGGAAAAGTTAGGGAAAAACAAAATTCAATTTTTGTGGCAGCTCTGTAATTATATAATAAAAATAATAACACTTAATAATACTTATTATAATAAGACTATTATAATTAATTGACATTAAAGAAAAGTTATCTAGTCATTATAATTACTGTTATTAAAATATAAATATTAATTTATTATTGAAAACAATTGTGCCAAAGTCTACCGGTTTTTGTAATGTAAAAATTTTTCAACAACAGTGCAGGATTATATATCGTCATTGGAGAATCCTGGGTTTTTATTGGATAAATTGAGTCGTAAAAGTTATGAAGTTGATGGCGATTCACGAGAACCATTATTCCCCTGTCATCTTCCTCCTTCTCAATTACATGATGGAATAAAAAGTGGCAAATTTATGCAAGGAACATTTATGGCTTCGAGGGAAAATTTTCTTGAAGGTTCAGTGAATGTAGAAGGCATGGAGCAGTTTGTAAGTAATTATTTTTAATATAAATTAGATAATATTATATTAATTACCTATGTTAAATAATATTACAAATAAATTATAATATTGTTAATAGAATGAAATGAAATTAAATTAAAAAGAAATAAAAATAAATCATTTAATTAGCTGAAAAAATAAAAAGTTTCTTTTTTTAAAAGTATGAAATGAAATAAAAATATAAAGGATAATTGAGAATTATGAAATTTGCAGATATTAGTGCAAGGAAGATCGAGTTTAAATCGAGCAGTCGATGGTGATATTGTAGCCATTGAATTATTAGCAGAAGATCAATGGTCGGCACCAAGTGATATTGTTCTTCAAGATGAGGAGGAGGAGGATCCAGGCGATGTTCTTGAGGATGAGAAAATTTTAATGGAACAAGCTCCTAAAAAGATTATCGAAAAAACACCAACCGGTGTTATTGTTGGTATTATCAGACGAAAATGGAGACAATATTGTGGAATACTGCAAGTCACATTAAACAAAGATGTAAATTCAATTTAATTTATATTTTCAATTTTTTATTCAATTTTATTTTTAAAACTTTTCTCTAATTTAAATTTTAAAAAAGGAAAAGAGCAAAAACAAAAGAACAACAAACATTATTAAAGAAAATAAAATTTTTTAAATTTTTAATTTTAATTTTTTTTTTTTTTTTTTTTTTTTTTTTCTTTAATAATTTTTGTTGCTCTTTTGTTTTTGTTCTTTTCTTATTTTTTTTCTTATTGATTTTTCATTTTCTTAGAATACGAGACACATTTTTGTGCCTGCCGAGAGAAAAATTCCCAAAGTTCGCATCGAAACGAGACAATATGAAAATTTGAGCAAGGAGAGAATTATTGTGGCAATTGATTCGTGGCCTCGTCATTCGAGATATCCGAACGGACATTTCGTTCGTGCCTTGGGACCAATTGGGGACAAGAACACAGAAAATGAAGTATTACTTCTTGAACATGATGTTCCTCACAGCAGATTTTCTGACGCTGTTCTTAGTTTCTTGCCCAAATTGCCGTGGATTATCACTGAAAATGTAAGTACTTGGGTTAAAAACAGGGTTTCCATAGGTCAGGGAAAAGTCAGGAATTTTTATTAAAAGTACTGGCAAATAAAATTTTTAGAATTTATAAGAAAATTCTGAAATTTTGTGCCTTTTTGTTTGACTCATAAATTATAAAATTACCACGATTCTAAAAAAAACTTTCAATTTTTTCTATTTCTGACAATAATTTATTTTAAATAACTTAATTCTATTGAAAACCTGCCATAAAATTATTACTTATAATTCATTTAATGTAGTATTTTTTTGAAAAATTTTAATTTCAATTCTGTTGAAATTAGTCACAATTTAAAAAATTTTAACACAATTCTTTCAAAGAATAATTCAACTATCTTAATAAATATAAAAATTCTTTCCAGAAATTCAATTATTTTCAAAATTTAAAAAAAAAAATTTTCTCAACATTTCAAGTATCTTTATAAATAGCAAAATTCTTCTCAGAAATTCAATTATATTTAGGAATTTACAAAATTCATTGTAAAATTCAATTATTTTCATAAATAACAATATTCATCAGAAGAATTCAATTATTTTCAAAATTAATAAAATTCTTTGCAGAAATTCAATTATTTTCAAAAAATTAAAAAGAAAATTGTCAACATTTCATTTATCTTTATAAATGAATAGCAAAATTCTTCGACAAATTTCAATTATTTTGAGGAATATTAATGAAATTCATTGCAAAATTCAATTATTCTCATAAATAATAGTATTCATCACAAGAATTCAATTATTTTCAAAAGTACTAAAATCAGGGTGTCCAGTGGTCACTGAAAAGTCAGGGGATTTTTTTGGTCAGGGAATGTCAGGGAACTTCATTCAAATTAGGAAATTTCTAGAAAATTATAAGAAAATAAAAAATTTTTGGGAATTAAAAATTTTTTTAATTTAACAGGAAATGTTTTTTATTAGGTACTATTTTGTACTATCATTAGATATTATTTTTTTTCTTAAATAAGTTAGTATTCATATTTTTGTCCTAAGGAAGCAGAAATAAAGTTAGTAAATAGTCAGGGAAAAGTCAGGCAATTTTTTTCTCAATCCATGCTGCACACTCTGTAAAATTCATTTATTTCCAAAAATTTTAATAAAATTCATGGCAAAATTTCAATTACTTAAAAAAAATTTTCTTAATTCAATGATTTCTAATATTCTACTATTTTAATAAAATTTCCCAAAAGAATTTAATTATTAAACAAAAATTTTAATAAAATTCTACACGAACATTCAATTATTTTCCAAAAAAATAAAAATTTGACAGGAATATTCAATTATTTAAAATAGAATTTGCATAATTTTTTTTTCAAAAAAATCAAATGTTTTAAAATTTTGGCATTAAATTCTTCGCAGTAATTAAATTATTTTCATTAATTTTAAAATTCCTTTCAGGGATTTAATTATATTTTTATAAATAATAAAATCATTCGGAGGAAGTCAATTATTTTCATAAATAACAATATTCATCACAAGAATTCAATTATTATCAAAAGTAATCAAATTCAATTATTTTTAAAAATTTTAATAAAATTCATTGCAAAATTTCGATTATTTTCAAAATTTTTTTTTTTAATTCAATAATTTTTATATCTATTATTTTAATAAAATTCCCCAAAATAATTCAATTATTTAAAAGCAATTTTGACAAAATTCTATACAAATATTCAATTATTTTCTAAAATAATGAGAATTCTTCTGATGAATTCCTTCGAATTTTTTTAAAATAATGGAGTTTCTTTAATGATTTTAATTAGGAATTTTTAAATTAATTAAATTTTATGAAGAATTTTTGTCAAGTTTTTAAAATAATCGTGTTTCTTAATAATTAAAATTAAACATTTAATTATTGAATTTTATTAAAATTTTTAAAAAATAAAATAAATTTCCTCTAAGAATTTTATTAAAATTGAATTCATTCAAGAAATTTTATTAAAATATAGAAAATAATTATGTAAATTCTTTTGAATAGTTTCTTTGAGTTTTTTTGAAAATAATATTGTTTTTTCAATAAATTAAATTGATAATTTTGAAAATAATTGAATTAAACAAAATATTTTTTTTTAATTTTTTAAAATAAACGCGTCTGTTAATAATTATAATTAAAATATTTGTTTATTGAACTTTATTAAATTTTCATTAAAAATAATTGAATTCCTAAGAAGGATTTTATTTCGAAGTATTCATTAAAATTTTAGAAAATAATTGGATTCTTTCGAACAATTTTATTAATTTTAAAAAAATTGATTTGCTTTAAAGGATTTATTAAATTTTTAGAAAACAATTGAATTTTTTCGAAAAATACATTAAAGTTTTTTAAGAAAATTGAATTCTTACGTGAAATTTTATAAAAAATAATTGGATTTTTACAAAGATTTTACTATTTAAGGAAATAATTTTACTGTTTATAAAAATAATTGAGTTCTTCCGAAGAATGTTATTATTTATAAAAATAATTGAATTCTTGCGAAGAATTTAAATTTTTGGAGACATTTGTACTTCATATATGAATTTTTTAAATTTTGATTATGAAATTATTCAAGTAACATTTGCTTGTGTTTAAACATTTATTTAAAAATGAAGTTATTGATGTTTTTGAATAATTTTACAATTAATATTCTTCAGGGTCAGGGAAAATGTCAAAATTTTGTCTGGAAATCAGGGAAAAATAAAATAAAATTTTTTTAGTAACTCTTAAATAGTTAATTAAAATTGAACTAAAATTTTAATTAATCCAGAATTTAAATTCAAACACTCTGGGAGAAATATTTAAAAATCTCTAGATAAATTAAAAAACTCAAGAGGCAAATTTTGTGTTAAAATAATAATTCTCTTTACTAACGATTAATAACAATTTTCAATTAGGACGTTGCTCAAAGGACAGATTTGAGACATTTGGATGTTTGCTCCGTGGATCCACCGGGATGTACAGATATTGACGACGCTCTACACTGTCGAGACTTGCCGAACGGTAATCTCGAAGTTGGAGTGCACATTGCAGACGTCTCGCATTTCATCAGACCTGGAACTGCAATTGATAAAGAAGCTGCTTTACGTGCAACGACAGTTTACCTCGTTGACAAACGAATCGACATGGTTCCAGGTAATATTTTTCTAAATATAAAATCTTTCAATTTTAAAAATAATTTCTTTTCAAAAATTCTTCACCGAAAGTATTGATAACATAATTGAATTAATATTTTTCCTTAAAGAGCTATTGAGTTCAAATTTATGCTCATTACGAGGAGGCGAGGAACGATTTGCATTCTCCTGCATCTGGGAAATAGATCACGATGCAAATATTATTAAAACAGATTTTTTCAAATCTATTATACGCTCTAGAAGTGCGATGACATACGAGGAAGCTCAAATAAAAATCGACGATCAACTTCAACAGGACTCACTCGCTAAATCTTTAAGAGGTCTCAATAATCTCGCTAAAAAACTAAAAGCCCGACGTTTAGAAAATGGGTAAAGTTGATTTTTAAAATGAAGGAAAATATAATTTTCTTTTCAAGTTTTTTTTTTTTTTTTTCATAAAAACATATTTTAATAATCTTTTGATTTTCAGTGCATTGGTTCTTGCTTCACCGGAAATTCGATTTCAAGTTGATAGTGAAACGCACGATCCCATTGATGTGGAGGCAAAAAAAATGCGCGAAACAAATTCCATGGTCGAGGAATTCATGTTGCTCGCAAATATTTCAGTTGCTACGAAAATCCTTCAAGAATTTCCTGAGTGCGCTATGTTGCGTCGACATCCTGAACCACCTCAATCAAATTTCGATCCTTTGATTAAAGCTGGAAAACATCAAGTTAGTTTCACTTTTTTTCTTGACAAAATAATTGGAAATTTTCTTTAACAATTCTTTTCAAATATTTTTATTTTATTTTCAATATTTCTCTATTTTTCGTTACAATTTAATTTGACCTGTTGATTCGTTTTTGTTTACTTTCATTGTTTCTCCATTTTCTTGATTTAAAAAAAAATTCAAAGAAATTCTTCAATAGAATTTAATTAGGATTTTTTTAAATTTTAATAAAATTATTCGCGAGAATTCAATTCTTTTTATAAGTAATAAAATTCTTCGAAGAAATTCTATTATTATCAAATTTTTTGATAAAATTCTTTGCATGAATTCAATGATTTTCAATACATTACTTTTAAAATTGAAAATATTTAAAAAGAAAAATTATTTAAAATATTAAGAAACAAAAAAGCAGACAGTTAACTTCAAGCTCCGAACAGATTACCGGAATACAACGATTATTAACATAGAAGATTTTAAATATGAAAATATACAGAAATTAAAGCTGATATTTAAAAATAAATGATTTATTTGTATATTGAGAATAATTGTGTATTTAATAAATATTTAATTAAAAATTTTATTTTCTAGGGTTTTGAGATTAATACAAACACAGGAAAGGAATTGGCTCTATCCTTAGAATCGGCACATAAAGCAGATAATCCTTACTTTAACACAATGCTGAAAATTTTAGCGACGAGGTGCATGATGCAGGCTGTGTATTTTACAAGTGGAATGCTTCAGCCATCGGAATTTTTCCACTACGGATTGGCCTGTCCAATTTATACTCATTTCACGTCACCAATTCGAAGGTTTGAATTTAAATTATTTATAAAAATAATTAAAAAAGAGGGAAAATATTTTATAATAGAAGAAAAAAATCAAAAAAGATTAATCTATGAAAGTAATTTTGATCGGATTTAATTTTTGCGAATTTAAAATATATTGAATAACTTTTTTTTAACAGATATGCTGATGTAATTGTCCACCGATTATTGGCAGTTTCTATAGGAGCTGATGCTACGTACACGGATTTATTAGACAAGAAAATTAATCACAAACTGTGCCACAATTTAAATTACCGAAATCGAATGGCTCAATACGCAGGAAGGGCGTCGGTTGCACTTAACACTCATGTAAGTATAATCGTTTGTTAATTTTCGAAATTATTAAATAATGTTTTATTTTTTTTAATCGATTATTTTTTGAGAATAAAGTATTGCAAAAGAACTTAAAGGAAAAAAATTAACCAATTAAAGATTAGTGGTAAAGAAAATAACTATAATGGGTACTAGTTTGTTAAAATAATTACTGTAAATTATTATTTATATTTCGCGCGAAACACGGTGTTCCGTTTATTATTATTTTGCAAATTAAAAAATTTTTATATTTTCAAATAAGTATAAACATCAATTTTTTAATAAATTTAGATTCAAAATTTTAAAAATTCAATTAAGTACGAAAATTATTATTCTTGTTTATGTTTTTTAATAGTTTAATAAAGTTTTTCACAAAAATTCAATTATTCTCATAAATAATAACATTCTCTGGAAGAATGCAATTATTTAGAGAAAATAATAAAAGTTATTAATTGCTTTGGTCAATCAATAATTCAATTTTTTTATAAATAATAAAATTCTTCGCAGAAATTTAAATATTCTCAAAACAATTTTAATAAAATTTCAATAAAGGATTTAATTATTTTTAAATTTTTTTATAAATAATAAAATTCTTCGCAGAAATTTAAATATTCTCAAAATAATTTTAATAAAATTTCAATAAAGGATTTAATTATTTTTAAAAATTTTAATAACACTTTTTATAACAATTCAATTATTTTTAATACAAATTCAATTAAATTTCTTGAAAGAATTATATTATTCTTAAAAAATTTTAATAACTTTCTTGGAAAAAATTCAATTATTTTGTTAAATTTTAAAATTCCTCGCTGAAATTCAATAAATTCCAACACAATTTTAACAAAATTTCTCGAATGAATTCATTTATTCATAAAAATTAGAATAAAATTCTTCGAACAATTCAATTATATTCAAAAACTTTGATAAAACTCATTACATATAAGAATTTAATTATTTTCAAAACTTTTTTAAATAGATTTCTCGAAAGAATTGAATTATTTTCAAAAATATGAATAAAATTCTTTGAAACAATTCTATTGTTTTCCTAAATAATAAATTCTTCAAAGGAATCCAGCCCCTCAATTATTTCTAATATTATTTTAATATTTTTATTAAAATTAAATAAATTAAATAAATTAAATAATTAAATTAATGAAATTAATTAAATTTTAATTAAAGTATTTTTATAAATAATCAAATTATTCTCAGGAATTCAATTATTTTCAATACAATTTTAATATTTCTCGAGTGGGTTTATAATTATTATTAAAAATTGAAATAAAATTTTTTCCAAAATATTCAATTATGTATTCTGAAAAGTTTTGATCTAATCTTTTGGAAATTTCCATTATTTTCAAAACTCTTCATAAATACTTGGCAAGTATTCAATGATTCTCAAGACATTAATTTTAAATTTCAAAACATTTAAAAAGAAAAATTATTTAAAAAGTTGGGAAGTAAAAAATAAAACTAATTTCAAAACTGCGAACAGATTACTGGAATATGACGATTATTAATATTTATTTTTTGGTATTAGAACAAAAATTACTATTTTATTTCTAAATGCCAAGAAGCAAACATAAAAGCAATTTTTAAATAATTTAATTCTTGAAGAACTATCCTAAAATTATTGCTTATAAATTATTTAACGAATAATTTTACTTTAAAAATTCCAAAAATAATTGAATTTTAAAAGAATTGCGTTTTTAATTTTTATAAATAAATAAATTTTAGAATGTTTTAAATTGAAATTTTTGAAAATTCGAATTTAAAATTTTTGTAGTTTTTTGTAAAACTTTATTAAAATTTTTTTTTAAAATAGTGAAATTTCTTTTTTTCTTTATATAATTAAATTCTCAAAAAACTTTCTGAAGAATTATTTATTATTAAAAATAAATGATTTAGAAAAGAGTTCTTTCATTTTCTTTCACAATTTATTTTTTCTTTAAAACCTATTTAATCAATTTAATTTCAGACAATTGGATTTTTATTAAGTTTTATTCAGTTTTACTACACCTTTGAAATTAAATAAAAATATCCATTTATTCGAATATTTAAAATATATTTAAAAGGAAAAACATACTTTATAAACTAAGAAGAAAAACAGCAAATAAAAAAATATATAAAGTAATTTCAAACTGTAAAAAGATATTTACAACAACTCCACTTAAAAATAATTAACGTAGAAATAATTAAAAATATTTATTAAACAGCGGATATTTTAAATATTTAAATTTGTTACTCTATAATATAAATTTATTTTATTCACAGTTATTCTTTCGGGGAAAAATTCAAGATGAGGACGGATACATTCTTTTTGTACGAAAGAATGCTTTGCAAATTTTAATTCCCAAATTTGGTTTAGAAGGAACGCTTTATTTAAATAAAAAAGGCGAGGAGAATCCAGTTAATTTTACGTACGACGAAATGGAGCATACACAAACTTGTGGTTCTATTGTTTTTCGCTCATTTGATCGCGTCACTGTTCAATTGAGCCTCGATAGATCTAATGTTCAACGTGAAAAACTTGTTTTTAAACTCGTCAAACCGGAGGTTAGAAATTTCACTCAATTATTTAGTTTCTATTCACTCATACAATTGTTCCTCAAATTAAATGAAAAGGAAAATTCAATTATATTTTTGAATGAAATATTTTGATTTTGAATTTAATATATTTTTATTAGTTAAGAAACGTGTAAACAATATTAACTATAATTATTTTAAACAATTTCAGATTCCAGGCTTCAGTGTTGCAGCGTTTCAAAAAGTAGAAGACAAGAAAGAACCAACAGATTCGAAATCTGAGCTAAATGAAGATGTTTTAATGTCAGATAATGAGAAAGTAATACCAAGTGAATCGGAATTATCGAAACGAAAAGGGAAGATGTCTGGTAAGAAGCAAAATAAAAAGAGGAAAAAGTAAGAAATTTTTTTTAAAAACAGTTACTGAATTTTTTTTATCTTTATATTTTTGAAATTAAGATTTTTTTTAAATTTGTACAGAGATATTATATATCTTTCAATTCTCTATCAAATCGCCATTTAGGACTATATTTTAATTTCAATAAATAATTCAGAAAAATATTTTATTTATTAATTATTAACTTTTCGTAAATCCTATTTTAATGGTCATTATAATAAAATTTACTGCAACAATGATATGTCATTATAATAAAATAGGAATTATTATAATCATATTATTTGAGTTTTTCAGCTCTTGAACTTGGAATTTTTTTCCTTTCACCAAATTTTCTCTCCCTAAAACTGAAAACTAAAAAAAAAATTGTTAGTTGACAATTTTAACAATTTTTAAAAAATGTTCAGTATTATTTTTTTCTAATTACACCGTATTTATACATTTATATTTTATAATATTTAGTTTTCAATTTATCAGGACTCTGCGATTTAAAAAATAGAATTTCTTTAGACGTTACATTTTTCATTAATAAATATTTAAAAAAAAAACAATAACAAACTACAATGAATTACAATAATTTAAATTCATTGGGGATCAAGTGCTTGTTTAGCGTAGCCTAGTTTCTGCAAAACTTGTTTTATCTCTCTGTAAACAGTTGGATCTTCAATTGTACTTGGAATCTGAAAATTGAAAATCAAATTAGATAAATTCTTATCAGAGATTTTTTCTAGAAAATAAAATTTTATTTATCAGATGAAAAATTCTTTTTTATATAATAAAATATTTATATTGTTAAAATATGAATTCAAATAAAAGTAAATTAATGAATTAAATGAATAAATTAAATAAATTTATATTTATATTAAACTTTTCGTATTAAAAGTTAAAATTTTATTAAATATAAAATGAAAATTTACCTTAACAATTTTCGAACGAGCTAAATTGGCCATCGATCTTCGGCAAATTTTTCCTGATCGTGTAGTGGGCAAAGCTTTAACAGCGGCTACAACTTTAAATGCGGCGATTGGTCCTATGAGACGACGAACGGATGCAACTAATTCTTGATTGATCTCCTCTTCATTTTTTTGAGAATCTTCAAAGTGAAATAATATTTTTATTTAAACAATAATGTGAATTAATTGAGAAAATATTTTTGATTTTCAAGAAGAGACAGAGAAGGAAATGTTTAATTTAAAGAAAACAAGAGGAAAAGAAAAAAGAAAAGAAAGAAAGGATTTACCATCTTTCATAACGTATAGACACAGGGGAATTTCTCCTTTCATATGTTCCGGGACGCCGATTACTGCCGCCTCGACAACATTAGGATGACGAAGGATAACATCTTCTAAAGCGGATGTAGATAATCGATGTCCAGCAACGTTTATCACATCGTCATCTCTTGCCGTTACGTAGACGTATCCAAATTCATCAATGTATCCAGCGTCCATGGTATCGTAATAACCCTACATGTAAACATTTCAATTCAGAATTTTACCGAAAATTTAAAATAGAAATCATTTTTATTAAAAATTCTCTAAAATTGTCTAGAACGTTTTTTTTCTTTTTTTTTTTTGCTTAAAATATTTCCAGAAATTATTTTTATAATTATTATGCATATTACAAAATTTTTTAATTTTCAAATATTAACTTTTAACAAAATTTCTCAAAAGAATTCAACTATTTAAAAAAATTTAATAAAATTCTTGGAACAATTCAATTATAACTTTATTTATAAACTTTATTATTTTTCTTGAAAGAATATTTAGTTATTTTTAAAAATTTTAATACTAATTTTTTAAAAGAATTCAATTATTTTTAAAAACATTTTCACAAAACTCTATGAAAATTCAATTATTTTCAATACAATTTTTATTTCATTCGTCAAAAGAATTCAATTATTTTCATAATTATTTTTTATGAAAATAATTGAATTCCTGTGAAATTTTTATTATTTATGAAAATAATTTAATGTTTACATATAATTTTATAAATTTTTTTTTTAAATAATTGAATTCTTTTTGGGAAATTTTATTAAAATAGTAGATATTGAAAATCATTGAAATTAGAAAAATTTTTGAAAGTAATTGAAATTAGGACAAGACTTTTTTTTGATATTTATGAAAATAATTGAACTTTTGAGAAGAATTTTGTTATTTATAAAGATAATTGGGATTTTTACGAGATTTTTTTTTCAAATTTTGAATATAGTTGAATTTTATATAAAGAATTTTATTTATTTTTTTTTAAATAATTGAATTTCTGCAATTATTTGTAATTTCTCCAAAAATGAATTTTTTAGTGTTTTCAACAAAAATTTAAATTAGAAAATTTTTAAATTTTATTATTTTTAAAATTGCTAATGTTATTTAAAAAAAAGCAGTAAGAAGTTAGCCGCGCGAATTGTTGATAGTGTAGATTATTAATATTATTATTGTTAGTTAGTATTATATTATTATTTTGTTTTTATATATTCTACTAGTAATTAATTATTATTCTACTAGTGATTAATATTAAATTACAAACTTTAGAAATTAATTTAGTAAAATGCAAATTTTTTTTCAGACGGTGATTTGTTGCTGAGCAATTATATGGAATTAAAAACTCCGAGGAAAACAGAATACGATTTGATATTCAGGACAATTAGATTTAAAATTCAAAACACTTACCGGATATTTTGAGAAATAAATTTCTTTAAATTTCTCGGGTGCCAGATGAAGAGTTGACATAACTCCTGGTGGTAAAGGTAATTTTATGACAATTCTACCAAGTTGGTGGGCTCTCGCTCTACTTCCATCTTCTCGTAAAACTTGAACTAACAAAAAAATATTTTTAAAATATAAATAATTTAAGGTTGAAAAGAAGAATTATAAATAATTATTATTTCCAGTAAATTCTAATCAGAAATTGGAAAATTAATAATTTTTTATTGTTGAACACAATATTATTGAAACATAAATAATTTGAAATTATATTTTAGAAAATATCTACAATTTTATATTTTGTAAATAGTAAATTAGTGAATAGTTTAGTAATTAGTAAATTGTAAATAGTTTTCTATTGTAGTTTACTATTACTAACAAGTTTACTATTTACATACATATTTATCTTTTTATTTACATAATTATTTATTTATTAGTAAATAGTAAACTATTAACTATTTACAATTTCATTTTTTTTTCAATTTTTACCATTATAACCAGGAACTGGCAATCCAGTGCTATACTTTGGTGGATTTGTGGTGTGACCCAAACCTAAACAAGTGCACGTTATAGGGTGACCAGTTTCCGTTTGCCACCAATGATTTAGAATTGGCACTTTAAATGTTTTTTCCGCCCACGCTTTTGTTTCATAATCACAGTGCTCGCCTGCTACAAAAATTGCTTTTAATCTGTTAACAAAAAAAAGAAGAAGAGGAAAATAAATAAATAAGAATTATTCGCTTGAAAAAGAATTTTTTCATTTAGCTTTTCAAAGTTTAATTTCAATTATAAATGTAAATAGTATTTTTACTGAATTCTACAATTTTCTACTTTGAATTTAATGTTAATCAGTTTTAATCAGTGAAACGAGTTGAAATCGTAATTTTATGGAATTATTCCATTTTTTTAAATTAAAAAGTAAAATTCTATTCTCCAACTTACGACTTTGTTGAGTATCGTTTACCCAATAATATCTCGGGGTCTGCACGTCGAATAATTCGAAAAGCAGTTGGCACAGTGAATAGGGCATTTACTTTGTGTTGATCTATAATTCTAAAGAAGGGAAATAATTTTTATTTTTTTGATTAAAAATGTAATTTAAAACTCGTTAATTTTTTTCTTTTGGTCATGAATTTTAATTGTTTTATTAATATCTTTTTATTTTTTCAAGTGTTACCAATTTTTTTATTTTACATATATAATAATTATTAATGAACTTTATTTATTTTCAGAAAATCGCCTTTCTTTTTGTTACTTTTTATAAATTTCTAACGGAATTTTGAAGAAGACAAGAGAACACGCAACAAAAGTATGAAACAAAGAAAAAAATTTGGATTTTAGTAGAAAACAATGCAAGTGAAATAAATTTTATTCAACAGTTTCTTGAGTTTTATTATCCAAAATTCAAATTTTGTTGAAAATATTTTAAAAAAATCTTCTCAAAAATGATATCAATTTTTTATAAAGAGAATAATAATTATATTTCAGCGGCTGTTAAATTTATAATTTAAAATTACTCCCTCTGTAAGATTTGAAGGGAATAAAATCCGCAATGTTTTCAATAACGAAAACAAAATAATAATCATTTATTTTATTTTGACATTAAATTTTAGTTATTTTTGAATAATTGTCTGTAAAGTTTAAAATTTTTAAATTAATGTACCAAAAATAATTAAATTCTTGTAAAGTATTTATAAAAAAAAATTTGAAAATAATTGAATTCATTTCAAGAATTTTATCATCATTTTTTTCAATAATTGAATTCTTTCGAGAAAAATGCAATTAAAAAAGTATCGAAAATAATTTAATTCTTTGCAAGATTTTTATTAAAATTCTTGAAAATAATTTAATTTTTTTAAAGAATTTATTTCAATTTTCTTAAAAATAATCGAGTTTTTTTAAATAATTTTACTGAAACTTTTGAAAATAATTGAATTTTAAGAAGAATTTCTTTTAAGTATTTAAAATAATAATAATTATATTCAAGATAATTTTAATAAAATTTCTCTAACAGGTTCAATTATTTTTAAAAATTGTAATCTCTAACAGATTCAATTATTTTAAAAAATTGTAATCAAATTTTTCTAAATAATTCATTTGTTTTCAAAAGTTTTTAATAAAATTCTTTGTAAATTTTAATTATTTTCCAAATTTTCAATTAAAATTACTTTAAAAAAATACATTATTTTTAAGAAATTTAATGAAATTCTTCCAAAAAATGTAATTATTTACAAAAACTCAAATAAAATTGTTTAAAAGAACTAAATTTTTTTCTAAAAATTGTATTGAAAATAATTGAATTCCTCAGAAACATTGTATTATTCATAAAAATAATTGAATTCCTTTGTAGGATTTTATTATTTATAAAAATATTTTAATTCTTGCGAAGAATTTTTTTATTTATGAAAATAATTAAATTCTTGCGGAGGTCGAGGATTTTACAATTCATAAAAATAATTGAATTGTTTTAAAGAATTTTTTCTTGAATTTTTGAAAATAATTGAATTTTTGAAGGAATTGTATTAAAAATTTTGAAAATAATGATTTTTTTAAAAGAATTTTTTCAAAATTGTTAAAAATAATTTAATTTATATTAAAATTCTTGAAAATAATCGAATTTAGTTAATATTTTTAAAAATAATTGTATTCTTTCGAGAAATTTTATTAAAATTGTATTAAAAATAATTGCATTGCTCTAAAGAATTTTATTATTTATGAGAATAATAATAAACAAGAATATTTAATATTATGTACTTAATAAGTGAATTCTTAAAATTTTAAAATCTGTAATTATTCAAACATTGATGTTTATTTTTGAAAATATAAAATTTTTTAATTTACAAAATAATAATAAATAGAACGCGGTGTTCCGCGCCCTGGCGCTCGTATAATTTGCTAGTTAATAAATAATTAAAAATAATGATTTTAATAAAATTATTCGTTTTAATTTTGTTAATTAGTAACTAAATTTTCTATTTTAAAAAATTCATTTCGCTTTTTTAATTTATGTATTTTATCTCTTTTTTTTGCAGATTGCTGTGAAAGTTCAACGGAAAATTGGTACTTGCCTGAAATATTGTCCAGCATCCGGTGTCCTATCGGGTTTTCCTTCATACATGACACTTGTTACGCCACTAATTAATGGACCATAACAAATGTAGGAATGTCCAACAACCCATCCCATGTCTGATGCAGCCCACCACGTCGAATCTTTATCCATTCCATAAACTGTCTTCATTGACCAACAAAGGGTCGCAATGTGTCCTCCAATTGGTCTCTGAATTCCTTTCGGTTGATCTGAAGTGTTTTTAAAATATTTCAAAAGCCGCTTCTCTCGATTTCAAATTATCTTTTACGTAAGTTATAATTAATTACTATTAATATTGTTAATATTATTATTTTTATTATTATCATTACTGTAAAAAAGAACATTCTTCCTTTTTTTGGAAAATTAGATAAATTTAAAAAAAAACTTTTTTATAATTTTTCTTTTTAAATTTTTAATTGAATTCCTTCAAAGAATTTGATTATTTATTAGAATAATGGAGTTTCTTTAATAATTTTTATTGAAAATTTTGAACATAATTGAATTAAACAAATAATTTTCTTCAACTTTTAAAAATAATTGTGTCTTTTAATAATTAAAATAAATTTTTGATTATTGAAGTTTATTAAAATTAGATTAAACATAATTGAATTTTTGAAAAGAATTTTACTATTTATAAAAATACTTGAATTGTTTCAAAGAATTTATTAAAATTTATTTACGAAAATTAACGAAATTTATTGAAAATAATTGAGTTTTTGCAAAGATTTTATTTTTTAAAAAAATAATTTAATTGTTTTGAAGTATTTATTCAAATTTAAGAAAATAATTGAAATCTTTCGTGAAATTTTATTGAAATTTTTATTGAATTTTTAATATTTATAAAAATAATTGAATTTTTTAGAAGAATGTTATTATTTATGAAAATAATTGCATTCTCCCGAAGAATTATATTAAAAGTTTTGAAAATATAAACAAAAATAATTAATCACGTACTTAATAAGTGAATTGTTTAAACTTTGATTATTAAATTAATTCAAAAATTTATATTTAAAAATAAAAAATGTTATAATTTGCATAATAATTTTGTTTCCTAATGTTTTTAATAATTTTTCTTTTCAAATGTTTTGAATTCTAAAATTAATGTATTGAAAATCATTGAATGCTTCGGAAGGATTTATCAAAAAATTTGAATATAATTGAATTCCTTTAAAGGATTTTATCAAAATAGTTAAAAATAATTTTTTGGATAAATTTAATAATTGTATTAAAAATAATTGAAATCTCGCAAAGACTTTTATTATTTATGAAAATAATCGAATTCTTCGAAAGAATATTATTAAAATTTTCGAAAATAATTTTATTCTTGGCAAGAATTTTATTAAAATTTTTGAAAATAATTGAATTGTTTTGAAAAATTTATTAAAATTTCTTTAAAATAATGGAATTTTTTAAAATAATTTTTATTGCAAATTTTGAAAGTAAATAATTTTCATGTAGAATGTCTTTTTAGTTTTGAATATAATCGTGTTTATTAAGAACTGTAATTAATAATTTCATTATTAAATTTTATTAAAAAATTATTGGTATAAAAATAAATATTTAAACAATTTTATTAGAGTTTTCATAAATAATTACATTTTTTGAAGAATTTCTTTAAAATTTCTTGAAAATACTGCAAACAAATAATTTTAATTGAAAATTTGGAAAATAATTGAAATTTACAAAAAATTTCATCAAAACTTTTTAGAGTAATTGAATTTTGGAGAAGAATTTTATTATTTATGAAGATAATTGAAATTTTGACGAGAATTTAATAAAATTTTTTAACACAATTGAATTTCAGCCAAGAATTTTATTATTTGAAAAAGTAATTTAATTCTTTAATTCTTATCAATTGTTATTAAATAATTAATAATTGAATTCCTGACAAGAATTTTATTATTTATAAAAATTAATTTATTTCTTGCGAAGAATTTAACAATTTATAAAAAAATAATTTCATTGTTTTGAAGAATTTTATCAAAATTTTAAGAAATAATTGAATTCTTTTGAAAAATTTCATTACAATTTTTAAATTTAATTGAATTCTTTTGTGAAATTTTACAAAAATTGTTTTGAAAATAATTGAATTCTTGAAAAGAATTGTACTATTTATAAAAATAATTGAATTCTTCCAAAGAATGTTATTATAAAAAATAAAAGAAACAAAAAATCAGGAAACATTGTTTTTAGAGTCGCTAGAAATTTTTAATTTACAATTAAAAGTACATTCTCTTTAATTGCTTTAATTACTGCTCTTTTCATTAGTCACATATTCTGTTTTTGCAGGTATTTAATTTTTGAAATTGTTGAACAATGGGGAGGAAAAAAAAAATATCTAAACAAAAGAGTGAACCTGTTGTTCCCGATGTGTAGAGAATATATAAAGGCTGATTGGCTTCGACAGGCACACAAGGATGTGGTTTCGCTCTCCTCAATAATTCGTCCCAGTCAAATTGATTTTCAAAAAGTGGAGCTTCCCAAACGTGTCTCCTTTGATAGACAATGCACTTTGGTTTGGCCGAAACAATAATATCCAATGCCTCATTCAACATGTCGGTGTACCTTTCATTTTCGGAAATTGTAAGTAATTTTAATTCCTATTTTCTATTTTCACTAATTTTAAGTCTTGTGCAAAAAAAAAAAAAAAATTTTAATTACTTATTTTTTTTTGCAAAAGTTTTAAATTTCATAAAATTAAAAAAAAGAATTATAAACCTACTTGATAATTTTCGTCGGTTCTAAACCACAACTGGCAGCAATTATAACTTTTGGTTTGGCATGATCTATTCTAGTTGCCAATTCCTTAGCAGCAAAACCTATTTTTTTTCAAACATACGAAATATTTTTTATTTAAATGCTTCTTTTTTTATAATCTGAAAATGAAATTACAATCATTACGGTTGTTAATTGAGAAAAAGTCAGAAGAGAAAGGCAGAGACGCAAAAAGGAACGTAATTAATTCTTACAAAAAAAATAAATAAAAATTTTCGTAAAGTGAAAAATAGAAGAACAGATTAAAGCTATTTTAAATTGAAGATGAAAAAGATAAATTGCAAAGTACATTTAATTTACGTTAGTCAAGGTAAATCACACAAAATTGTCTCTTTCTGTGAGTGTCTTGCGTTCATTTCCCTCTAGTATTTTTTTTCTTCACCTTTTTCTCTTTCAACGTTTAACAGATATTTTCTCGTGTTTCTTTTACTTTTGAATTTCACTTATGTTCTCAATATTTAATAATTTAACATTAAACTTTTTGTTTGAATTTATTTATTTCAGTAATTATGTTAATTTTAATAAAACAATGCAAACTCGAGATTTCTTTTTTGATGTTTCTAGAAAATTAATTAAATATTTTCTGTTTGACGTTTAATTTTTGAAAAATTGTAATAGATTTTAGTAGCTTAGAGGGAAAAGATGTTAATTAATATATTTCAGAAAATGAAAAATTCTTTACAGCATTAAAAAAAGGAGTATTTACACAATTTTCCTAGATAGTGTAAGTTTAATTGAAATTGGCTAAATAATAATTGGAAATTTAACAGAAAATAATTTAATACACAAAAACACTTATGGGTGTAATTATAAATTATTGTACCCGTCAAAGACGAGTAGGACAATTAATTTTTTGTTCTGTTCAGAGTATTGCACAGAGTCTATGCATAAAGTTAATTATTGAGCTATTAAATTTTTATTATTATTTATTAATTATTTATTTTATGTAAATTTATACATATTATAAGATTTATAAGTTGTAAATTATTCATTACACGTGTAATTTTTTTTAACTATCATTATATTTATTTTATTATTTTTGTATTCTCATATTTTAGAAAATGCGAAATTAATTTTTTCATGCTATTTTTTAATTATTTATAAAATCGAATTATTTATAGACAAAAGTGGAAGGATTATATGATAAAATTTTAAAAAGATTAACAAGAAAATTGTGATTTTTAATCTACTTGGAAAAAAACGAACTAAAATATATAGCTGTGGGTGATTTCGATTTCCCTCACGCCTCCGCTCAGGTGGTTCTTGAAATTTCCTACCTAACTTTTCTCAATTTTATTCTAAGCGTTATATATTACTCTTATTTTATTATTATTCTTATTATTTTTTATTATTAGTACTATTATTATTAATATTACTATTATTATTATTATTATTCTTTTAATAACTATTTATCCACTTTTAAAAAATATTTTTTTATTCAAGTGTATAAATAAATTTAAATCAATTTGCTCACGAATTCTATTATGAAACATTCATAGCATTTAATTCATTTTATCCTAGAACTTTCTCTCTGATTTAATGAATCAATATTTAATTAAAAATATCTCAATCGACAAAATCTCATTGAATGAATTGTAATACAATTTACTAGGTGATAATAATTAGTCATGTCAATTGTTTATATGCGATTGTCTAAATTGAATATTAATTTAATTATTAACATACAATGTATAAGTGATGAAAAATAATTTGAATAAGTTTATAAATATTTTTTGAACTAATTACATTAATTTTGAGCTAATTATTTATTAATTTACATGAGTAAAACTATATTGATGATCCACAAGTTTTCAATGTTCAAATGAACTAATTTATTAATAATATTTTCATAAATAATTACTAATTGCAATAAAAATTAAGAACTTAAATTTTATATTTAGAAACTATTATTTTTTTTATAGTAACGTAAAATTATTGTATTAAAAATTTTATTTGAAGAAAAAAGTAAATAAATTTCGTTCAGCAGAACTATTATTAAATATTAGAAGTTATTAGATATATTAGAACTATTATTAGATATTAAAATAAAAATATTTGTTAGGTTTTTGAGGAAAAAAAGGAGAAAAAATATGAAAATTTTCTTACCACCAAAAACAACTGAATGAATGGCACCAAGTCGTGCTGTTGCTAGAATAGCAATAACTGTTTCGGGAATAAGTGGCATATAAATGAGAACGCAGTCACCCTTTTTTACTCCCATTTCAGAAAGGGCACCGGCCAAAAGGGACGTTTTTTCGAGAAGCTCATTGTAATTGACTTTTCGAATTGACGACGTTAAAGGACTGTCATGAATTAAAGCAGTTTTTTCCCCCAGTCCGGCTTTCACGTGACGATCCAATGCATTATAACAGGCGTTTGTTTCACCTCCCACATACCTGTGTTAAAAAAAAGAATCATATATCAAAATTTTCTCCCTGACAGAATATATGTCAAAATTGTTTTAATTTTGTTCAGAAGAATTTTTTTCTCACCATTTTGTGAAGGGTTCATTGCTATTATCTAAAACTTTATCCCACGGTTTAAACCAGTCTATACATTTTCCAACTTCGGCCCAAAATTCTTCAGGATTTTCTATTGACCGTCTGAATGCTTCTTCATAAACGGGACTGCGATATCGATTTTTATTCAAAATATAATCTATTAACAATTTAAAATAATTATCAAATTGAAATTAATTTAATTTAATTAAACTTTTTTAATTGTAATAATAATGAGAGAATTTTTGTTAATACAGGGTTGCCACATGTCAGTGAAGTCAGGAAATTCAGGAAAAAGTCAGGGATTTTTATTAAAAGTACTGGAAATAATTCAATTTTTAAAATTCATAAGAAAATTCTGAATTTTTGTGTCTTTTTTGTTTGCCTCATAAACTATGAAATTACCACGAATTTGAATACAAAACCTTCAATTTTACTATTTCTGACAATAATTTCTTAAGTAACTTATTGTTAGTTTTTGAAGAACTATCATAAAATTATTACTTATAAATTATCTAATGAATAATTTTACTTAAAAATTTAAAAATTAATTCAATTTAAAAATTATTAAAAATAATGGACTTATAAAAGAATTTCGTTAAAAACATTAAAAAATCGAATTTTGGAGAAATTACAAATAATTACAGAAATTAAATTATTTTCAAAAGTAATAAAATTCTTCATAGAAATTCAGTTATTTTCAAAAATTTGAATAAAATTCTTGGTAAAAATTCAGTAATTTTCAAAAAATTTCCACAATTCCAATGATTTTCAATATCTACTATTTTAATAAAATTTTCCAAATAAATTCAATTACTAAAAAAAATTTTTTGATAAAATTGTACTCGTACATTTAATTATTTCCATAAATAATTAAAATTTCACAGGAATTCAATTATTTACAAATTTTTTACAAATTTCTTCTCAATAACTCCATCATTATTTCATAAATAATTAAAAAATTTTTAATTTAAAAAAAAAAATAACATTTTTTACAGGGATTTAATAATTTTCATAAATAATGAAAACTCATCGTAGAATTTCAATTATTTTTAATACAATTTTAATGTAATTCCTCGAAAAATGTCATTATCCTTAAAATTTTTATTAAAATTCGTCAAAAGCATTCAATTATTTAAAAAATTGTTTGTAAAATTTTTTATGAGAATTCAATTTTAAGAAACATTCCAATTATTCAAAAATTATTTTCTCGAACTTTTATTATAATGTACTAATATTTTTGAATTTAAATAATTGAATTCTCGTAGAATTTTCAAATAAAAATTGAGTTGACAATGAATTTTAGTTTAAATTTTTGATAATAATAGAATATGAAAATAAATTTTAAGAAGTTACAGTAACAATGTTCTTATAATAATATAAAATAATTATTTTAACACTCGACCCTCTTTAATTATTATAAAACATTAAGAAATGAAATCTTCGACTCGGAGTAATAGTTATCCAGGGTTGCCACAAATATTGAATAATTGAATTCTTGTAGAATTTTCAAATAAAAATTGATTTAAAAATAAATTTTAGTTTAAATTTTAGATAATAATTGAATATTAAAAGCATTATATATCATGAATTTTTAGAAATAATTGAATTTTGAAATGATTTTAAATTAAAATATTTGAAAATTAGAATTTTTCATATACTTTTAACTAACAATTTTGTAGATTTAATTTTTTTTGAAAAAGTTTAATTCAATTTTCTTTTTTAAATTATTTGAAGTTTTTATTTTCTAATATAATTTTAATTGAAGAATTTCCGAATAAACGAAATTTCGTAAAATTGAATTGTAAATAAATGAATTTGAAAATTTTCAAGGAACTTTTTAAAAAATTATTAAAGATAATTTATTTAAAGAAGAATTTTAGTTAAAAATTCTAGAAAATAATAATTGAACTAGCCAAACTATCCGCGCGCAAGCGCGCGGGAATGTTGTATGGGGCTGCTTATTTTAAACAATTTAAAAAATTTTAAAGAAATAATTATTATAACCTAACAAAGAGATTTAACTAACTAAAAATCAAATAATTTCACTCAATGGTCTCAATTCAAATAGAATTTACATTACTAGACTTAAACTATGGCTAGAACAATTACAATTAGTATCTGGGTCATATTTTGCATTGCTTATTTTATAAAGCCATTTTAAATTAAATACTTTTTAAAGAAATAATAATTATTACACACTGAAAAAAGTTTTACTTGAAATAGCGATAAGTTTCTCTAGAATAACGAAAGTATTAATTGAAGCACTGAAAAATTTCGCTACTAAAGTGAAATCTGTAGTTCATCCAGCTAAATATTTTTTGCCGTGCATAACGAAAAAAGAATTAAATTAACATCAGATTTTCTACATTCAAAAAAAAACGAATTCAAATAGAAATTAAACATTTTACAACTTAACCAAATTCACCCCAGAAATCACTGAATTCGATAATTTAGAAGAAAGTCAGACAAAAGCAGGGTTCCTACAGAATCTGGAAATCATAGAAATCATGAAAATGGTATGGAATTTTTAAAAGGCTTCTGGAAATCAGGGAAATCATGGAAAAGGCCTGGAATTTTTAAAAGTTTCTAAATTTTTCAGTTTTCCATTTTTTCTCTTGAATAGAAATTCAAATAATAATAAAGCTAAATGGCATAAAAGAGAAGAAAAAATAATGAATTTTAAGAAAATCGGATTTTTGAATTTTATCGAATTTTTGATAATTTTAAATTTTTTACCAAAGCGTCGAGACTATTAAATAAGTAAAGTATTTTCCAAAAGCACAAAAATAATGAAGCTAAATCCTATAAAAGAGAGGAAAGAATGTTGAATTTTAAGAAAATCGGATTTTTGAACTTTTTCGAATTTTTGATAATTTTAGATTATTTACCAAAGAGTCGAGACTATTAAATAAGTAAAGTATTTTCCACATTAAAAAGTTTGACATTAAAAAATATATAAAAAATGCCAATACTTAACCCACAAAATTTAATTTTCAAAACAAACAAATGAATGCAGATAATTTGCTAACGGAAAGGAAACTTACGATTATTAAAATGTATTGAAATGATGGAAACAATTGTTAAGAAGTTACAGTCAAAATATTCTTATAATATTTAATAATGATTTTCTCACTCGATCATTTTTAATTAGTATAAAACATGAAGAAATTAATCACTCAGAGTCGAAGACTCTGAGTAATCGATTTCTTCATGTTTTATAGTAAAATATTCTTTTAAATCATTAAATTTCAAAAGGTTTGAATTTGAAATGTTTGAAAATCTTAGTTTCTGTGGAAAAATAATAATGATTAAATATTTATTTAAAAAAGTAGTTAATAATGTTTTCGAATAATTTTAAATTTAAAGAAATTCGTAAATAAATATATAATAGAACCTATTTTTGAGTATCTAATCATTTTTAAAGTGAATCAGAATATTTTTTAAGTTCAGGAAAAAAGTTAAAATTTTGTCTGAAGATCAGGGAAAAACAAAATTAAATTTTTGTGGCAACCTTGTAATATTAATATGAGAGAAAAAGAAATAAAAATAGTCGGAATATTTCAAACGGATCATCTAAAATTTTCGAAAAGTAATTAATTTTTATTTAAATCATTTTTTACTTCCAGAGATCAAAATAAATTTTAATTTTAATTTAATTTAATTAAAATTTAATTAATTTAATTAATTTAATTTAAATTAAAAATTTTTTTTTGTTTATTTGACAAAATAAATTTACGTTTTTAGACCAAAAACAATTTTTTTTTGCTAAATTTATTATTGAATTTAAGTTTTTAGAAGTCTTGAATAGAAAAATTATTTTCTTGATATCTATTTAAATATCTAGGTCAAAGTAATAAAGTTAATCAGAAATGCAAAATACAGCATTTTTTGGTTGGTATTATTATAATATATGTTAATGTAGTTAAACAAAGATTTCCATATTCAAAAGTCGAAAAAGACAAATTTACGTATTAGAAAAAATGATCATTCTTCATAATATTTCGATTATATATATTTGTTTTCCTAATAAATAATAACTGATAATATTAAAACCTGAGAACGAATAGTTTTGTTAAATTAAAATAATAAATTTTCTCGCTTTGTTTAAAGTTTTTCTGTATTCGGTTCTCAATAAAATTATCGATTCAGTAAGGAAGTTGCTTACTCCTATCACGTATTCAACTCCTTCTTAAATTAAATAAATTACCAGTCTTGCTTTCTTTTCTTCGCATTCTAATTTCATTAAAAATTTATTAATTTTCATGTTTATAAAGTATTTTGTTATTTAGAAAATTCATGTCTCAATTTCTATTCTACTTTGTACGTTGTATAATAATAGCAATATTCTGCATGCTTTTTAGAATAATCTATCGTTGAGTTTAAAATAAATCCTTTTTTTTAGGTTTCTAGAGTTGGCGTCGACACTCAGCGTCACAAACTATTTTTTTTTAGGGTTTTCTTAACGATGAAAATTGCATTAATGTCACCGTTTCCATTTATTAAAAATAAAAAATTTGGAGAAAAATAATAATTATAGTAAGAATAAAAAATAGTTGGAGAAAAAAATGTTTAGGGCACTATTCGAATTTGTAGATTTGGAGAAAATAATTTGATTTCTTTTTTTTTGGTTTCATAGGAAAAAAAAATTCCGCCGCATAGCTTCGACGCCAACTTTATAATAATTGAATTTTTTTTAATTTTAAAAGATGATATTTTTGTTAAACAAAAAGGTTATTTTAATTTTTTTTAACTTTCATAATGTCAATTTTGAAATAATTTAATTATTGCATAAATTTTATTAAATAAATAATTAGATTAATTAAATGTTTCGAGAAATTTTATTAAAATTGTATTGAAAATAATTGAATTGTATCGAAGAATTTTATTACAAATTTTGAAAAAAAATAAATTCTTTCAAGATATTCAATTAGATTATATTAAAAGTAATTAAATTCTTATAATGAATTTTATCGAAATTTTAAAAAATGATTAAATTTTTTCGAAAGAATAAAAAAAAATTTGTTTTTAAATAATTGAATACTTTGCAGAATTTTTACTAAAATTGTATAAAAAACAATTGGAATTCTCGACAAGAAATTTATTTCAATTCTTAAGAATAATTTAATTATTTCGAAGAAAATTAAAATTTTTCCAAAGAATTCATTTAAAATTATTGTATTGAAAATAAGTGAATTCTTTATAGATGATTGTATCAAAATTGTTGAAAAATAATTGAATTCTTTCGAGGAATTTAAAAAAATGTTTAAAAAAAATTAATACTTTCGTGGAATTTCATTTAAATTGTAGGTATTGAAAGTTATTAAATTTCTGTGAAAAATTATATTTATGAATTTGTAAAGAGATTTTTGTAAAATAATATTTTTGTAAACTATGGATAATAATTTTTCTAAATACATTGCATTTTTATACTTTTAATTTTTAAAGTTTAGTAGATTGAATAGAATAGAATTTATTTCCTGATGCTACAAATAATGTTTTACATCTCTTACAGCCTTAGATTTAAAGTTTAGTATTTTTTTTTGTAATTCATTCTTGAATTTATTTTCTAAAACAATATTTTTTAAAATCTTTTTGTTTTTGATGAAATTAATTTTTGAAATATTTCTACTAAACTATAATTTGTTGAATGTTGAAAATTTGTTGAATGTATTGAAATTTATTTTTGTAAGAAAAGCCAATTTTTTAATTTTAGAAATTAATGAAACGTAATGTCACTAAAAAGAGATATTGACTTGTTTTGCGTAACCGATTACATGATTTTTACATTAAACATTGATTTAAAATCGTTCTTTGCATTTGACAGTTTTCGCGAACATATATAAAGTATATATATATATATATATCTAGATACAAACTAAAGTAATTTAATTATTTAACACTTTTCCAGTGTTAATATATATATATATATAATATGTAATAACCAAGTGCTATTAATTTATTGACGTAAGATTTTAATATTCTTTTAAAATAAATGAATTAAACCAATTTTAAAAATGTGCCAAAAATTTCCAAATAATCGAAATTAAATTTATAAAAGTTATTTATATTTCAAGAATTAAATATTTTCGATAATTTTAGCAAATCAGAAAATTTTTAAGTCAACGTTGAAATTTGGAGTAATTTTAATTATTTTAAATACGAATTTAAATTTAAATGCTGTGAATTTTAATAAAAAAGGAACATAAATTACAAATTAAAAAAAAATAAAAAAGCAAAAGTACTTTAGAAAAAACACAGAGGAAATAAAATTTCAGAAATAAAAAACATACCAGTTCCATCGCTCTTCTTATGAATTTGAGCTCGAAGAGTACGCTCCTTTTCTGGATCTTCAATTTCACTATCCAAAAAATCCAAATTAACTTGTTCCAACATTTTTTTATTAATTTTCGTGATATATAATTAAAAGGGGGAAAATATATTTGGGGGTTTGAGGCGTTATAATGTAAAATAACGATAACGCCTACTTGTCCACAAAGAGGGGTCCATTCAAATCACTATTTTTCTCAAGAGTCCTTTCAAAATTTTCCTTAAAAAAAAAAAAATAAATAAATAAATAAAACCGACAAAATTTTCCGTTTTTGTAGATTTAAAAAATTTCTTGCATAAACTTTATGTTTCTTCACTAATTTTCACATAAATTTCTTTCTTTCTTGTAAATAATTAATTTTGATATATTTCTATATATTGTTGTAGAAAATAAATTCTGATTAAGTGGACCGAAAAATTAAAAACGAGCTATAGTTGCTTCCTTCGGAACTTGTAAAGAAATCCTGAAGAATATTGGTATCGACATCGTGATTGTCCCAAGATATGTAAAATCAATTGTCACGTGACACGTTGATTTCCTGAGTGATCTTTGACCATAAAACCTATGGTCACTGATTTAATTACGACCCGGACGACAAACACTCAAGCGCATTGACCAGTTAAATCGTATTATAGACTTTTCCTCTTCTTTACCTTTCTTTTTTTTCTCTCATTATCTGCACTTGAAAATTCATTGTCACAAATGTTGGGAAAACGTATTAGATAAAAATTGTTATTGACTGCATAATTGAGTTTTAAACTTGACCTTATCAATGCAGAATTAATTTTTACAGCAATTTTTTTCTTTTTATTTAAATTTAAAATTTATTATTTTTAAACTAGTGTTGTAAAGAAATTTTTAGAATTAAATCGTGTCGATTCTTTGGGCAAAGTAAATAAGAAATAAATACACTTTAATAAAGTGAGTTTTTTTTTTTGAAGAAAAACTCAGATAAAATAAAAATTATAATTATAATTAACCAAGAAAAAAACATTGAAAAGAAATACTTTGTTTTTGTTTTATACAATCGAAGCTAATATCCATAAATTTATTTCAGTAGTCATTAAAAAATATTCATCTATAGTTCTTTTATATTTTAAATTTTTATTTTATTATTACTTATAATAATGTTTATAATTCTTTCTTTCATTCACTCTTTCGCAATTTGAAGCTTTTGTTTTTTTTTCTATAAAAAACTTTGACAGATCGAAATTATGCAGATTTTTTTTTCTTTATTTGTAACAAATATTGGAAAATTATGTATGCGAGCTAAAGCACGTGTGCACACTCTCGATCAATTATTAAAAGAATATAATAATTCATTAATTAAAAAATATTTGCTGGCTGTTTATTTTAATCATATCAACAACAAATTTATGTTTATCATTAAGAAAATAATTTGAGATAAAATTAATCTTTATGAATACCTACAATCAATATTGTATACAATAATATACAATCAATCAAATATTTTTTACCTTTTATTTTAATAATATTTAACATTTTGAAATAATTTTCAATTTTTTCTTTAGAAATAAATGAAATAAACGTAAAATTTTTAATTCATCAGACACAATTTTTCAACGAAACTTTTATTCTTTTTATATAGAGAAAAATGAAAAAAATTTGCATGATCTTGATTTGGCAATTATTATTTTACATTATTACAGGATTACCTCTATATTTTTTTTTTTTTTTGATAAATTGAAAAAATTTTTCATAATTTCTCTTTTTCAATGACAATTTTTTAACAATATTCAAAAATTTTATTAAAAATAAGGAAAACATTTTGCTGATTTTCTATTTTATTAATGTTCATAATTTGTATCTATAATTTCAAAACTTGGCGCAACAAAGAAAAAAATAAAATCAATCATTGTTTGATTAATTAATAATGATTAAAAATATAATATTGAGATTTTGTTTAAAAAATTATGATAAATGAATAAAAGTTTTGCGAAAAAGTACTAAAAATTTTCTAAAAACAATATGATTGATAAATCAAAATTATGAAAGATTTTTTCTATTATTATTTTGAAATTTTTGAAATTTTTCCCTCTTATTTTCAAATAAAAATTGTAATCGAATTTATATAAAAAAAATTTTTCTTTATATCTAAAAATATCTGAGATTTTGATAAAAAATTTTTGGTGAAAAAATAGAAATTACATATGCAAAATTTTTTTATCAATTATTAAAAGAAAATCGGAAGATTATTTGTTTAACAAATTGTGATTGAAAAATATAAGTGCTGAAATTTTATATTCCTTAAGAAAACAGAATTTCTTATGAAATTCGTTTCCTTCATTCATTCGTTCAAATTAGAAAATCATTAATTTACTAAAATTTTCTATTTTTAATTATTTACTACTTTAATATTATTAATATAATTAATTGAATTAGGAAATAATATTGTAATATTATGAAAAAATTATTTTTATCTCAAAAATTAAATATTTTTGATCATTTTATTAAGCGAAATTATTAATAATGAATTATTGTCATGTTAAAATCGTAATAATTAAATTTTATTTTAAATTATTTAAACTTTTAAAATTGGGAAATTTTGATTCAATCAAATTAGTCATTAATTAACAAAAATTTTCTATTCTCAAATTTCTAAAAAAAAGAATTTTTTTTTTTATTTACTGGTGAATTTTTACAATTTGAAATGAAATTATTAATTAATTAATAATAAATTAAATAGAGTAATATTAAGTATAATTTTTAGAGAATTGAAAATTTCTGTTGTTTATAATATCGTCGAGAATTATTGATAATTTTAAAAATCCGATTACATGTCTAATCATATTAACATAGTAATAATTGTAAATTATATGTTATTAAGTTAATGGTTCTTTTGAGAAAAGAAATAAATTTATGTATGAATAATATTTTTCATTTTCTTTAAGATTATACAAAGTCCAGTACTTTATTTCCTTTTTAATATGAAAATTCATTTGAATTTTTAATTACATATTTGTAAATGTATGATTATATTTTAATTCTAACTACAAAGAATATTAAATGAACACATGATATAAATTTAAAATAATTGGATGAATCGCGCGTGGAATTTTTTTTCGTTGCAAAAATTACATATTAGAGAAATAGTTCTTTTCAATTCAGGAAAAATAAATATCTTTTTCTATTTAAAAAAATTTTTTTCTTCATTGTTTTCTCAATTCTCCAAATATTTAAATTGGATATTTTTTTTATTTACTTTTTGAAATTGAAATTTTTTCTTAATAAAAGATGTGAAGAAGAAAATATGTATTGAAAAAAATACAATAAAAGAGTAAAAACTGTGAATATTTTTTTTTTTACATTTTCTCGTAAACTTTTTGTTGTTCCACTTTCATCTTTACATGTTTTTATTGCATTGGAAAAAATCTCAGCTTTCTAAGAAGGAAGTAAAATAAAAAAAAGAAATGTCGAATTAGGTCAAAACTGAGAAATAAGTTTTATTTTGAAAAATTTTTTTGACTTTGATGAAAATATATTACATAGGTACAAAAAAATAATTATATAAAAATAAAATAATGATAAAATAAAATTTAATATTGCAAACAAAATGTTAATAATAAATTGAAATCACAGTGAAATATTATTATAATTTTGAGAAAGAATTTTTCATAAAAGGAATGTAATTTTATTTCACAGAAATTCCCCAAGATAAAAAGAAGAATATTATGTTGAATTAAATTGTTGTAGGGAATTCTTCTATGTATAATGCAAAAGAAAATATAGATAACTAACTTTAAAACTGTCGTGCTTTGTTGAAAGAAAAATTATTGTATTTTTATCTAATTTTTAATTCTCGTTTCAGTTTTGACTTTTAAATGTCTTTTTTACATTCACAATCCAATAACATGTTTTTCTTGTAGGTATTTTTTAAAATATTTTTCAATGTGCAAAAATTTCTTCCCAGAAATATTTATTCTATACTATTTGTTCGATAAAAAAATATTATTACAAAATAAAATTTTATTAATTTTTTTTATAGAGCCGCAAAAAAATTATTTCTTACTATTTTTATAGCTATTTTTAGCACAAATTTTGTAAAAAAAATAATTGAATTCTCGTGAAGGATTTTATTAGAATTTTTGTAAATAATAAACTTCTTTTTTTAAATTTTATGGTAATTTAAATTATTACAAAACATGTAATTGAAGAAGATGTTTTGAAGAATTTTAATTCCTATGGAAAAATAATAATGATTAAATATTTATTTAGAAAAGAAGTTATTGATGTTTTCGAATAATTTTACAATTAAAGAAATTCGCAAATAAATGTATTAAGATTATTTTTTTTGAGTACCTATCTAATAATTTCTAGAGTGAATCAGAATATTCTTTAGGGTCAGGGAAAAAGTGGAAATTTTATCTGGAAATCAGGGAAAAGTCAGGAAAAAATAAAGTGTTAAAATAATTATTTTATATTATAAGAACATTGTTACTGTAACTTCTTAAAAATTATTTTCATATTCTATTATTATCTAAAATTTAAACTAAAATTCATTGTCAAATCAATTTTTATTAGAAAATTCTACGAGAATTCAATTATTTAAATACAAAAGTAAATTATTTATTGAATAATTGAATGTTTCTTAAAACTTAATTCTTATAAAGAATTTTATTAAAAAATTTTTAAATAATTGAATTCTTTTGGCGAATTTTAATAAAATTTTTTAAAATAGTTACATTTTTCAATGAATTTGATTAAAATTGTATTAAAAATAATTGAAATTCTGCGATGAGTTTTATTATTTCTGAAAATAATTGAATTATATTTGAGAAGAACTTTGTTAAATTTTTTTTAAATAATTGAATTCTTGCGACGAATAATATTATTTATGCAAACAATTAAATGTTTGTACAATTTTATTAAAATTGTTTTTAAATAATTGAATTCTTTTGGGTAATTTTTTAAAAATAGTAGATATTGGAAATCATTGAAATGAGGAAAATTTTTGAAAATAATTGAAATTTTCATGCGAATTTTATTAAAATTTTTAAAAATAATTAAATTTTGAAGAATTTTTTTATTCATAAAGATAATAATTGGACTTTTGTCGGGATTTTTTTTGTAAATTTTGAACATAATTGAATTTCGTGATAAGAATTTTATTATACCTACGTTCAAAAATAATTGAATTTTATTCTTTTGGCGAATTTTAATAAAATTTTTTAAAATAGTTACATTTTTCAATGAATTTGATTAAAATTGTATTAAAAATAATTGAAATTCTGCGATGAGTTTTATTATTTCTGAAAATAATTGAATTATATTTGAGAAGAACTTTGTTAAATTTTTTTTAAATAATTGAATTCTTGCGACAAATAATATTATTTATGCAAACAATTAAATGTTTGTGTACAATTTTATTAAAATTGTTTTAAATAATTGAATTCTTTTGGGTAATTTTTTAAAAATAGTAGATATTGGAAATCATTGAAATGAGGAAAATTT